TGCCTGCAGACAGGCAGCTAGAAGCAGGTTGCCCCAGAGTCACTCAGTCCCTAAGGGAGACCCAGAAACCTGGCAGGATTTTAGAGATTCAACAGCTTAGCCAGGGACTGAGGTGATTTTCGGAGATGCAATCATGGCAGACAGCACGGAGGTGACAGCTCTGTGTGGGACGCAGTTTTTCCAAATCTGTGTAAATTTATATCAGTCGGAGTGAAAAGAGTTCATGATCCTGTCCTTACTGCTCTGTCACATTTTGTTGGGGAGGTGACCCTCATGCAGCGGGGAAGCTGGGATCTGGAGGAAGTGACAATGAGCTCTGAGCCAGGCAGCACCGGAGACCACTGAGGGCTCTGCTGGTACAAAGGCACTGGGCCCAGAGGAGCTGAACATACTACAGGAGGGCAGGAGGGTGAGAGCTTGGTGCTGGGGAAGCTGGAGCTGAGGGAAGGACGGGGTCCTCTAGATGGAACGCAGTCCTGCAGGAGAGCCCTGTGGGAGGGGGTGTGGTTAGATCTGGGTGTGGGTGGCAGGAGACTGGAGGGGGGCCCAGAGGGTGGTCGTGGGCTGGGCAATCAGAGGCTGGAACACTTTGAAATTCATTTGTTTATCATTCTGGATCAAAATACTGTTTTGAACCAATCAGGCACCAAGATAATTAAATCAACAGACTCCCTCACACCTCCCTCCATCTGCCATGGATACTCAGCGTCCAGCTTTGGGATCACTTCACTGATCTCAGGAAAGCTTGGAGAGTTTACCAGGACGCATCCTCTGTGGGTGCCCTGACTTGGCCTCTCAGCTCTTTGAGAATCAGCAGCAGCTTCTAAGGGAAAGTGCCACACCTTCTTCTAGGGATTCTGACCTCACAAAGCCTCACTAGCTGGCAGCTCACCAAGGATGTCAGGGAGCAGTTGTGTGTATGTGTGTGTTTCTCAGCTTCAACTTGCAATAAAATCCTGGTCTCAATCTCATTCTGTGCCTGATGTGAAAAGTCAGTGTTCTGACCTGGCAGGGTATCCAGATAAATTTCTTCTAGTCCAAATGAAATCCACTTATGCACACAGTCTGATGTATCTGATATATCCTGTAGTTGAGAACCTTAAGTGAAAAGTAAATTTTTATGTATTATGAACTGAGTGCTGTCAGAAATATCTGTGGTTTAAGCCAAAAAGTAGCAGGTTCTTTTATTAGATTTTTGACAAGAACTGAAATGATTGAAGCTGAGAATTTTGTCCTTTAACCAGATCCTCTTAGAATCAGGGATGCTATGTGACTTTGCCCAGGTCCACAGATAAGCAGGTGACTGAGGGGGACCCCCCACCCAGGCCCGGGGCTTTCTTCCTCAAGCCCACACACATTCCACAGTGCCAGGACATCATCACATCAGCCAGTGGTCCCTGCGGGTGTAAGTGGATCGTGGTGGAGGGTAGGGTAGCAGATTCCTCAAGGTGGCATGAGCTGGCCCCACAACACAGGGCAGCCTTTTCACAGGCAGGATTATTTTTCTCATCCCCAGGAAGGAAAAGGCACTTTCGACTTGTGCCTGCTTTCCGACCCAGAGAGCTGCTGAGGGCAGTGAGTGGCCCAGCTGCTCTGCGATCAGCTGCAGGAGGTGAAGGAAGCCACTCTGGGCACCTGCCCGCGCCACCGAGTTCTGACGGCCCTGCGGGGCGCAGCGTACTGGACAAGGAGTGAGAACCGAGGGTGCGCCTGCTTCTCAGGGCAGACACCCTGCAGCCCGGCCTCCCGAGAAAACCCCACCTCGGTGCAGCCCCGATGGCGGTGGCGGCGGCCCTGGCTGGACTCCAGGCAGAAGCCAACTGTCCCGTGTGTCTGGACGGCCTGAGCGACCCCGTCACCATCGACTGTGGGCACAACTTCTGCCGCCGCTGCATCCAGCAGTCCTGGGCTCACCTGGAGGACAGGTTCCCTTGCCCCGTGTGCCGCCACCCGTGCCAGGAGCGGCACGTCAGGAGCAACACCCAGCTGGGCAGGATGATCGACATCGCCAGGCAGCTGGGCGGCCGCAGGAGCAAGAGGAGGAGGCGCGAGGAGCCGCGCCTGTGCGAGCGGCACCACCAGGTCCTGGGCCTCTTCTGCGAGGACGACCTGGAGCTGCTGTGTCCCCTGTGCACGCAGCCCCCCGAGCACCAGGGCCACGTGGTGAGGTCCGTGGGCGAGGCCGCCGCTCACCACCGCAAGAGGCTCGGCAGTTACGTGGAGCCCCTGAAGACGCGGGTGGCCGACGCTCAGAGCCTGGTGGCCGCGCAGGACAGGAAGCTGCTGGAGCTGCGGGAGCAGGTGCAGCGCCAGCGGCGGGAGCTGGCCTTGGAGTTCGGGCAGCTGAACCGGGCTGTGGACCGCGAGCAGGAGGCCGTCCTGGAGAGGCTGGTCCAGGAGGAGCGGGACATCCAGGAGCAGCTGGGCGCCAACGTGGCCGCCTTCTCCGACCACATTTCCACCCTGAAGGGCCTCCTGCAGGAGGTGGCCGAGCGGAGCGTGCTGCCCGGCGTGAGGCTGCTGAGAGGCATCGGGGGCGTCCTGCGCAGGTGCGAGGGCCTGCGGTGCCCCGCCGTCTACTCCTTCCAGCTGCGCCGCGAAGGCTGCAGCCTCCCCCCGCAGCACTCGGCTCTGCGCAAAATCATCCAGACGTTCCGGGAGGACGTGAGCCTGGACCCCGAGACGGCGCACCCCAGCCTGCTGGTGTCGGAGGACAGGAAGTCCGCGACGTTCCTGGGGAGGAAGCGGAGGGCGCCCCGCGGCGCGCGGAGGCTCAGCGCGGAGCCGGCGGTGCTGGGCACCCAGGGCTTCGC